GGTGGGTCCGCAGCTTCGGTCCCCACTCCAGCCCGTGCCCGCTCCTGTTCCTCTGGTGAGCCCTAAGCCTGTGCCCGGGCTCCGCCGCATACGTTACGCTCCGAAGTATCGGGCCGCGCATGGCTGACCTGGAGCGCGGCGACCAGGCGACGTCGGCCGCCGGGCCCGTCTCCTGAACAGCCCGAGACTGGGGCCGGCCGGCCGCTGGGCCCGCCCCGAACGAGACTGAGGCCACCCGCCGGGCCCGTCTCACGAACCGCCCGGATGACCGCCGGACGGACCGAGAAGAGGATCGACAGAAGGACAGGACTTCGACAGGGAGAAACAAGTAATGATTGTGGAACAGACGGACGGACGGACGAGGCCCAGGATCGTTGGGTATAGGCGGACCGACGGGGATGGCAGGTGGGAGGGACTGCGGGCTGAACGGCTGTTGGATAATGTGACAGTTGGCGCCGACCGGCCCGCAGACGACGCTCGCGTGGTGTCGCCGGCGGTGGCCGGTGAGTCCGTGTCAGGCGGCGGCGTCGCGCGTTCGTGCAGCGTGTAGGCCCCATCGGCCAGCGGGAGTCGGCCGGCGCCCGGATCACCAGCCTGAGCACCAGCCTCGGCGATCCGTCTCGGCGAGCTGTGTTTAAACAGGACGTGTCGGCGGCGCCAGGTGGCGGCCGTCAGAGCAGGTCCGCTGTGTGACATACTACCCTGGCCCAGTTACCGCACAGCGTCGCGCGGCTGAGAGCCAGCAGGCGTACGTGTCCAGTCCGAGACCGGCCAGGCGTCTCAACTAGAGGTCTCCCGAAAACGTTAGCGACAAATTCGGCGGCCAGCCACGCCTCCCTCGCTCCTACCCTCTCGCCTCCTCCCTTCGTCTGTCTTTGCCTCTCCCCTCTGTCACCAAAAGCCCGGGATCTGTTACGGAAATCCCCGACATGTACCTTCTCTCGGAACAAAGGAACTCCATCGGCCGTCGCGAGCGAAAAAAGATGGGCCGGACCAAATTGGCCGGGCGGCGGTCGCGCTGGCCGTCCGAGAGCGCACTCGGGGGGATTGCAGTGATTTCGGAAAACCCTCAGCGCAAAACGCTCCAAAGCAGATTACCGCGGCTGGCGACAGTCCAACCGACCACGGGACAGCCGGCGCGCCCGGTGTCGCCGGCTGGCGGAGGCGACAGACCAACAGACCGCAGGACAGCCGGCAGCGCCCGGTGTGGCCGCCAGGCGGAGGCGACAGACTAACAGACCGCGGGACAGCCGGCGGCGCCCGGCGTCGCCGCCAGGCGGAGCGGAGCGGCGCCGTGACCGGCCGTCCGAGGCTTGGCTCACGTCGCCGGGCATGTCGCGCCTGTCCGGAGAAACGGCCGCTGACGGGCCGCCCGATCACGGCGCATTAGCTGATATCCTGTCGCACGCCAAGTTGGGACGGGGCAAGAACTGCACGCCACGATCGATGCATGTCGCCGACGGCGGCGCCGGGCCGGGCCGTCCAGCGGGCTCTCTGACAGGAGGCAGCTGCCGCGCCGCAGCCGCCTCCGAGCGAATACATCGGGGTGCCGACAATGAGCCCAGGCGAGGACCGGCCGCCGACGCCCCGCCGCCGGTCAGGGTCCGCTGGGTCTCGTCGAACGCGGCCAGCCGTGCTCAGTGCTGTCTGTAAGCGACGCACGTTATTTCCCCTGGGGCGGCGATCAGCACACCTCACGGGCACGGCGGGGGCTGACGTGGGGCTGCTGACCTCACGGACGCAGCGGGGGCTGACGTGGGGCTGCTGGCCTCACGGATACGGCAGGGGCTGACGTGGGGCTGCTGACCTCACGGACGCGGCGGGGGCTGGCGTGGGGCCGCTGACCTCACGGGCACAGCGGGGGCTGACGTGGGGCTGCTGGCCTCACGGATACGGCGGAGGCTGACGTGGGGCTGCTGACCTCACGGACACGGCGGGGGCTGACGTGGGATCATTGGGCCGGCGCCGAGCTGGGATCGGCACAGAATCCCATTCTGAGATTTATACGCCATAAATAACCACACAAGAGCACAGATGGCCATTAACATGCACCAGATTCGTTGCAACATCTTCGTTTTTTAAAACGTCGAACTCCCTGGATGACTAGCGTGGCATGTTCCGTGCCAGCTGCCGTCTTGGCGTCGGCGGTCAGCTTCGCCTGGGACAAACGGGCCGCCGCCGTCACCGCGATATGCACAGTGAGTAACCGTACCTGACAGGAGCAACACCACTGATAGCGAGCGATCCGGCATACTTGGCCGGCAGGGGGAGAAGGATAGCATGACGGTAGCATCCTGGCGAACCTGCTGAGCGTCTGGTTTCGTGGAACGAGCCTACACAACCACTCATTTCTCAAGTGTACGGTGCGTTGGTGACACCGGTAGTCCATGGTAAATATGCCCGCAGTGTACGCAAAGTGCGTACGTCCCTCGCCACGAACTTGGCCCGGATCTCAGGTTCTTCGATCACGACGGTGACCGCCGGTGGTAATAGCTGACCGCCGACGGTGACCGCTGACCGCCGACGGTGGCCGCTGACCGCCGACGGTGACTGCTGACCGCCGACGGTGACCGCTGACCGCCGACGGTGACTGCTAATCACCAACCGTGACCGTTGACCGCCGACGGTGACTGCTGACCGCCGACGGTAACAGCTGACAGCCGACGGTAACAGCTGACAGCCGACGGTGACCGCTGACCACCGACGGTAGCTGCTGACCGCCGACGGTGGCCGCTGACCGCCGACGGTGACCGCCGACAGTGACCGTTGACCGCCGACGGTGACCGTTGACCGCCGACGGTGACCGTTGACCGCCGACGGTGACCGTTGACCGCCGACGGTGACCGCTGACCGCCGACGGTGACCGCTGACCGCCGACGGTAGCTGCTGACCGCCGACGGTGGCCGCTGACCGCCGACGGTGAGCGCCGGCAGTGACCGTTGACCGCCGACGGTGACCGCTGACTGCCGACGGTGACCGCTGACCGCCGACGGTAACAGCTGACCGCCGACGGTGACCGCTGAACACCGACGGTGACCGCTGACCGCCGACGGTGACTGCTGACCGTCGGTGGTAACAGCTGACCGCCGGTGGCAATAGCTGACCGCCGACGGTGACCGCTGACCGCCGACGGTAACTGCTGACCGTCGGTGGTGATCCCTGACGCCCGACTGGCTCGGCCAAGGATGGTTTGAGTTAAAAAAAAAACAGATAAGCCCGAACTCGAGTACAAACTCGGCCAGAGCCATTCTACCCAGCGAGCTCAGCACGACTAAAAATTATGGAAATACTTGGTGATATCCACCGAGCTGTTTCGTCCAAACGTACTTTGCAATTAAAATGAACTCTTCACCCATAACAGAACAGTTCATGAAAATCAAAGCCGAGTGTGAGCTCAAGTTTCTGGGACCTTAGAGCCGAGCCTGAGTTGTAATATTTATTACCGATCGTGACCTTCAGACCTCTGGTTTTTCAGCACTGAAAAGTCAAAATATGAATCGTATATTAAATGAAGCTATCCATTTGATTTGAGCCTGAGCCACACAAGTTTGCCAATCCGAATCTGAATTTGGCAGAACTCAGCTCCGTGTCTGGTCGAGGAAAGACGGCGCCAGTGAGCGGTGCCATTCCGCCGGCCGGCCGCCTCGCCATCACATCCCTCACCCCCCCCCCCCCCGCCCGAGCGGCGCCCGATGAGGCGCCCGATAGACTTCGTCTGGCCGGGGTGTCGCGACGGAGCCACATGTGGAGAAGTCCTGATCCAATAACGGCAGGGATCGCCGAACAAAGCCCGGCTTCGATGACGCAGCTCACGGGTCGCGGGAGAACGCTCGACGGCTCCGGTTTCTCCGTCTCCGAGCTTCTGACGAGCCGTCGACGGAGCGCTGGCGGCAGCGTCCGGCAGCGTCGTCACCCCCCCCCCCCCCCCCGCCGTCAGTTCGGTCCTGCACTGTATCGATCTGGTAGCCAGGTGTAACGAGCACCCGTACACGGCGGGTGCGCTGACTGCCAGTGCCAGCCGTCGGTCGGGTTCGCCGCCGGCGGGGCCTGCCGCGGCGCCGGGCCGCCATCGACTCATCGGAGGGGAGGGGAGGGCCGCCGCCGCACCGCCTGCCAGCTGATGGGCCTGCGGCGGCGCGCCGGTCACAGACAGCGGGCCGGGAAGCCGTACCTGACACAGGCTTGCGTCTGACACTGGTGCTTGCACGGCTGAGGCACGGGCCCGCCGCCCGCCAGTGGCGCCCTCACAAGCTTGGCACAGGCTCATAGCTTTTCCACACGGCTCCCACGGACCTGGCACAGACCCAAAGGAGGGAGTTTTTCCAGCCTCCCAGCCCGCTATGACTGATGCCGAGGCAATGCACACTCGGACAGTGGTAGGCGTTGCGGCCGTTTCCAACCGCATCTCCTCAGCGGATTGGGCCGCTCTGCCGGCGGGCGGCTGTCGCCGACAGAGTTCCCGGCCTCCGCTGCGGCTGAAGTGGGCGGCCGCCGCCCCAGCCCGGCCGAGGCAGGGCCGACCGGCGAGTCGCCGTGCCCCCGCCGGCTGTCACCACCGCTGTCCGGCGGCCGATGGGGCGGGGGCCGAGCCCGTGTCCGGAGCGGAAGAGGAACGCGGCCGGGGCGGGCCTCAGTACCCGACACGCCGCCCGCCAGATACCATCGCCGCTCACAGACAACACAACACAGCAGGCATTCATTCTGCCGCGCGGCCCGCGATCGTTATCGTCGCGGGCGGCGATGACCCCGTGACCCGACCGCGGGGTCGGGCCGTGTCGAGCTGACCAGCGGACCGTGCGGCCCCAGCAGCCGCGTCCGCGGGTGGATAACGCGGCGACAACGACACGTCTCCAGCGACGTATTTGTCCGCGTTTGCCGACCGGGTGCTGCTAATTAGCAGACTCGCACGCCGTCTAATTGGAGCCAGCCGGCAGTGATGAGCCGCGGGTGGAGGTCGCACCGCGCGGAGGACGGGCCGGGGACGGGGTAAGGCCACTCACCTCCGTCTGCGGCGCGATCATAGTCGCCAACTCCGGCGCCTTCCCCCCGTCGCACGGCACTGCGCCACTGCTCGTCCGGACGGCCCTGCCACGCGCCCTCCCCCGACGGCCGCGTGGCGCGCACTGTCGGCGGCGGCCGGGCCGGCCCCGGTGGGTGGAGCCGGGCGCGGCCGCGCGCCGGGCTGTGCCGTGACAGCGGCAGCAGCAGCCAGCTGGTGGCCGCGAACACCGCCGCCGCTCGCGTGGCGCCGCCAGTCGAGGCTCGCGACATTTGGAGACTGTTGCTGTATTCTGACGGTTCTCTGAACAGGAAACACCCGTGATGGATAGGTAATAAGGGGACAGGGTACCAAATGGTTCTGAGCTCGCAGCTGGAAAATGTCGGACGGACCGGTGCTCGACTCAATTTTTTAGAACCAAGTCACTGTCGATCTACGGCTCTTTTTGAGCGATTAAGATCTTGTTGGAATCATGATTTCCTCTTTTGGAGACTGAAGCATTGTTGATCTATACCCCGGACCAATGCTTCAAGTCTTATTCAAGGGATAATTTAGCAGCGTATGAATCGATTCAGCCTTTTCCATGTAGAGTAGTTAGGTGTTGAAGTCAAAATTTTTGAACCGATAAATCGCTGGTGTACCGGTAACGTTCACAAACCAATTTTTATATTTGCTATGTAATATGTCGCGTACGTTATCGTAGCGTAGTACGTAAAAATACTGTCGATAGCGTGCCCAAGACCGTTACTTGCGAAGATAATTTGTTAGGATTTCAGGTGATCCTGAAACAATCCACCCATCTTTGCATCACTCTTCTTGCGATATGATATCCACGGGAGAGGGGAGGGAGGGAGGGGGAGGGGGCACCAGAGAATGCCTCGGCCGCGTCATTGCCGCTCGTGACGGAAGTCAAGAGAGCGAGACGGGAGAGCTTTGTTTCACATGGCGTGAAGCATTTGCGTAATCCACTGCCTTCCGGCCCGCATCATTCGCATGCCGGTGTGGTTGCTGACGCAGTCCCGCAATGCGACTTTTCTCTGTGCACTTGGACGGGTGTCCCTCATACGGCCAGGTCACACTTCTGAGGACCTTCGACAGACCGTGTGTGACGCACCTCAGTCCTCCTTATACATGGGCCGGATAGTTCGGATCGAGGACGGGTCCCGGCTCAATTCGAATCACAGCTGCCCATGTAAACAGGGTAAGGCACAGCCGTCAGCGCCAAGGCCGCGGCACGCGGCCATGATTGCCTGCATCCCACTTAAAACGTGCCCTCGGGCGAAAGCAGGAACACAAAGTCTTTTCACGATCGTCCGTGTAATTGCCAAAGCCTTGAGAACCAGACGCTAACATTGCTCCTTGTGTCCCACTGTTATAGCTTACCATGTACTGCGCGACGTACCAATGAAGGCTCTGACCTTTGAGTCGAATGCATGGCCCGCCACGCTCCGCGAAGACCGGCCGACCCGCTGAGAGCTTCCCTTTCAGCTGCGGCCAGCCTCTGCCAGGCAGCACTCAGCCTGGCGAGGCAGATCTCCGAGCCGCTGACAAATGGCTGCCACGTCGCAGTGGCATGCACCAAATGACCAAGTCAAATGAATACTTAGAAAACCGTTTTCAGCCTGATCCGAGTTTGCCGCAACTCCAGCCGGAGTTAATGTGAGCGACACAAGACGGATGACACTTCTATCTAATAGCTGACTGGCGTCTCTGAATCTACCCGGCCCCTGATGAAATCCAGGTTCGGTATGGGACGGCCGGGTGAAGGTGGAAAGGGAGAGAGGGGGCATCGGGCCATGCCACGATCATCTGTCACGTGATCAGCTATTCAGCGGCCCCTGAGCGGGAGCTACGGCCGCTCAGAGCAGCATGCATGGACCGGAGAGTCCCGGCGCGCCGGCAGCGGCGGTCGACCGCGATCGGCGCTGATGAAAGGGCCCGCCTGGGTGGTCGGAGCGCCGCGCCCCGTCATCTCGGCACTGATTAGTTCCGCTGCCCCGCGCAGGTCGCCGCCGCCGCCGCCGCCCCCAAACCCACTCAGGAATGTTAAAAACCATTGTTTTCTCATCGCAGAGGAGAAGCGAGATAAACAGAACACAGCCGCGCACTCGCCCATAATGCTTCAGATGATTTAGTCGTAATGGAGGGGACACGCCCGTCTTCAGCCGCACCGTGGCGCCACCGGGCAGGCGAGACATTATTCACATCGTGGAAAAGTCATTGAGGGCGTATTGCGAGGCGGCAGGAGTCGCTGGCATTTTGAATAATGGCCGTCATTAGGCAGCATTGTGGGTCCTGCAGACCCGAAGTACTCTTTCTCCTCTCCTTCCCTCCAAAAAAGGTCATGAGTCAGGAAATACAATGCATCTGACTTTGTTAAAATTGCGCTAAGAGGTAGTCCTGTCGTAGATAATTGCGATTTGACGTTAGATTTACGGTATCACTTCAAGGTCAAATGTCATTTTAAAGGCTGGCAAACATCATAGCGCCGACAATTACTAACGAAATGGAACAAATCCTGCCTTGAAAGAAAAACTAGGTTAAGCTGCGGGGTGAGCGGAATATTTGTTCTGTTGAACATTGGACTAAAGGGGAATGCTCCACATTTGAATATAATGAAGCAAACATAAGATGTGATGAAATAAGCTCGCCTATAACTACTGGTATACTTGTGGTAGTAGCAAAGGCTGCTCTTAACAACGCAGTTTCTCTGTTCCATAAATGTGCTGCTCTATGTGGCACTGTTTAATTGTCATCGTACCTCGCACAGCATTGATTGAGAGCCAACTGACGGTTGTTATATCTGGAAATCGTGGTTACGAACTCCGGATATAAACGACTCGACAACTATTTTTTTATTGGCCTTGTATGTCGCATTGTCAATGGAATGGCAGTATTTGAGTGATGATATAGCGTCATGGATGCCCGGGCGACGATGAAATAGTCTCCCAGAAATAGTCTTCCCGAAAAAGTCTGCATATTTTCGCGGGCATGTAGCTCAAAACCTAAAAGGATTTATAGGTCTTAAGAAGAGCAAGGCTGTGAACTGCATCGAATGATCTTCAAGATGCCTATTTTAGTTCAAAACCTCATACAAATGTGGCACATACCCCTCAGGGTCAGACTGAGGGTCAAACGAAAGGAATCGCCGAAACGCTGAAACTTACTGATTGCGGGACCAATACCACTCTCACCAATCAGCACGTGGCGAGGTCGAGGGCGATCAATCAAAATAGGGGACAGCGTGCAAACTCTAGTAGAAGGGCAGAAGAATTCGAAGGATTCGACTCGGTCTATATGCTGAGGACGATTTGGAACAACTTACCAGAAAGCATGGACGTTTTGGCGTCTCTGTTTAATGGACTTTACGATTCTTTAATGTCTACTGCTATGTGATCGATAACCAAGGGCCTGATGTAGATCGGTGCCAGCTTGTGATGCTATCGCAGCGGCGGTTGTCGGGACCTTTTATGTCCGAACCTTGTCAAACATTTTGCTACCCTACCACGTGTTGCGTTTTGCTTGAATTTGGCGTTGAAAGCTAATTGTTATCACGTGGAAACTTCGTTCAGTCCAGAACTCGGCGCGGGATAGCGAGTCAAAACGATCTTGGCGAGAATGCCAGTAAATGTAGACATTCTAGCGTTACATGTCGCTGCAACTTGAATTTTATCCCGAAGCTCAACAGCTATTTAAACCCTCGCATCACCTTCTCTGCACGACACGGGGCTTCAGAGGCCTTGCTAAGATCTCGACAACCCAGCGAGCTAGAGACATACAGAAAGCAGTACTCGAAAACTTTTAAATTGCATCATATAGATGTACCTCAGGTCTGGTGAACGTGACCTTTGACATGTCATTTAGGCTATATAGATCAATGTGACACTCAGAAGTATCTCTGTTGTTGTATCAAACATTAAAAACGCTACGTTATTGTCGAAATGTATGTCGATCATCTCCTTAAAAACCTTATCACATAGCCACTAGGAAATATTGACGGATATGACCTGTAATATATCACGTCAGGTCAAATCGGTGAACGTTGTTGTTGCATTGGCCCGTCCGGCTCTACCTATCAGGAATAAAATCCGTTGCGAAGGGGAAAGCATTGTGGAAGGTCTGGGCGTTGGAGCGTGACATTGGGCCTCCAAAGTTGTAAAACATGCGCTTTTTAAATGTCTGGGGTATGAACTTCCAAAGACCAAATCTGGTCTCATACATCAAAGTTTGAACAGCCTTGAATTTGGATAACTTGATCTTGCAAAAGGAGACAGACCAACTGCAATGCACTTCCGTATGATTAAGCTAAGAAAAGCGTTTTAGAAAACATCTTTGCAGTGCCCCACAAGAAACAAGTGTAATTTGTTACTTTCGTGGAAAATATCACCGACATGATGCTGAGAAACAGGTCACAGATCATGAGCCGGTAAGGTGAGAGACTTCAGATGTTACATCATTTGTAAAAATGGACTTGATTCATGTCGCCCAAATTTTAGTGCCACGCTCGAAACCGTGCGAAATTGTTTTCCAGAATCTCTTTAGGATGGCTTCTGAGTCCGGCAAAGGCTCCTTGCGATCCTTCGCTGGCAAGAAAATGTTTCTTAAGCAAGTTGCTCCATGCACGGCCTGGCCTTCGATACGGGCAAGGCCGCTGTGTTGTCGGACAACATGTGGACGCGAAGGACAGCAGCCTTATAGCGACCAACTTAGACGAAACACGAGTGAGCATATCATGCGTTTTTGTATGTGGTGTAACGAAACAAGTTTCCGGATAAGCGCACTTTTTCTATATATGATGCACTGGCTGGGATGCCCGACGCTGCTCGCGGCAAAAAAGTATATCGCAAAGAAATTAAATCAAGAAAGCCGTTTTTGGATGTATGATTGAAAATTTATCTACCGTGTGTAGTGGTTATTCGTAGTTGTGCCTGTATTTGATACTGGAGCACTCTCCACGAAACTGTCTGCCTCAGAGCATTTGCTGGAGGAATGCGGTTAACACGATCTGAGAAATACATGGCACCAGTCGCTCGACTTGAAAAATTGCTACAGGCCTGCAGAAGTTACACTCCAGTCTCAGATAAGCTAAGCAAGGATATCCTACATAAC